CACTGAGACATGGGATTGACACCCTACAGTCCTTGGGGACACGGCAGGGTGGCACTGAGACACAGGGATTGACACCCCAACACAGCAGGGTGGCACTGAGACACAGGGATTGACACCCCAACACAGCAGGGTGGCACTGAGACACGGGGAACTGACACTCCAGTACAGGCACAGGGCACTGAAAACCGGGAACTCAACCCTCCAACCCACAGGGAATAACCACCGGTCACCAAAATCCGGGAAATCAACCCTCCAGCCCCTGGGGAGCAAACACCTGGCACAGAAAACTGGGAAATCAACCCTCCAACACAAGCACAGGGCACTGAAAACCGGGAACTCAACCCTCCAAGCCCTTGGGAACACAACTCCAAACCCCAGTTTGAGAGCACCCGAAGGAAGCCAACCCTTCCCTTGGGGCTGACAGTCACCCCAGGAAGTGACCCCCACGTTCCACAGGAACGTGTCAACTCAACCCTGCACCCCCTGCAGCTCATCCCTGCCCGACACCGAGCCCGGATCCGGGTGGGAACGCTCCTCTCCCGCCCCCCGGGGAGCATTCCCAGCTCCCTCACCTTGTGTCTCCAGCAGGTTCTGCACGACCTCCTCCAGCCCCACCAGGTAGATGAACTCGTTGTTGGCGGCGCTGGGCAGGAAGTTCATCTCCGGGGCGGGAGGTTTGGGAGGGGGGATCTCCAGCAGGGTCTTCTCCAGCTGCTTCCTGAGGGCCAGCTTGGCCGCGGCCTGCCTGCTGGCCGGGGACTCGCCGGAGCCGCCCAGGGACGCGCCGGGAGCCGCGGAATTGGCCTGGGCCGAGCTCACCGCCGGGCCCTTGATGGAGGTGGGGGAGGCCTGGGGGGAGAAAAGAGGCCACAGCTCGGTCCCAAAATCCCAAAAAGGGGTTTCCACGCCGGGAAGAGGGGTGGGGGGTGACGGAAGTGGGACCAAAATCCGGCCTTTGAAGCCTCGGGGTGGTTTTTTTTTTTTTGGAGGTGACCCCGACGACGAGGTCACTGGAACCCCAGAGCTGAGACCACCCCGGGCACCAGGTCACGTAAAAACCCATAAAACTGCTAAAGGACAATTTCATATCAAACTTCCAAATATAAACAAGGGCCAGAATTCACTTTTCTGCCTTTATGTTTCCCTTCCCGACCCTCTGGAATGGGGGTTTTCCCTGTCACAGTGAGGAAGATGCTCCAAGGGCCGGAGCACCTCAAACCTTCCCAGGCAACATTCCGTGTTCCTCAAAGGAATGTTGGGGGTTTTTTTCTCTACTTTAGGTCAATTTAATATTTTGTTCTGGTGCTGGAGCAGCTCTTCCCATTGGGAATGAGCCAATGAGGTGATCCCAGGGTTGGAGACTGGGAGAGCTGGGGAAGAGAAGGCTCCAGGGAATCCTGAGAGCCCCTTCCAGGGCCTAAAGGGGCTCCAGGAGAGCTGGAGAGGGACTGGGGACAAGGGATGGAGGGACAGGACACAGGGAATGGCTTCCCAGTGCCAGAGGGCAGGGCTGGATGGGATACTGGGAAGGAATTCCTCCCTGGGAGGGTGGGGAGGGCTCTGATCCCCCTTCCTCCCTGGATCCAGAGCTGGGCAGGGAAACTCCAACAAACTTCACTTTTGCCACTCAACAGGTCAAAGATTCCCAATTTCTGGGAACAACTTTGTGCTCAGCATCCTTTGGGGGAGTGAGCGAGGGCCTGGAGGGACAGGACAAGCGGGAATGGCTTCCCAGTGCCAGAGGGCAGGGCTGGACGGGATACCGGGAAGGAATTCCTGGCTGGGAAGGCAGGGAAGGGGCTGGCACGGATTTCCCGGAGCAGCTGTGGAGAAGTGTCCAAGGGCAAGGCCGGAGCAACCCGGGGACAGCGGGAGGTGTCCCTGGCGGGATTCCCACCCGTTTCCGAGCCGAAGCATCCCGGGAATTGGGAGGGCAGGCTGGGGACTCACCTGCGGGATGTTGACGAGCAGGCTGGCGTTGGGCACGTTGGCCACGCGGATCAGGCCCTGCTGGATGATCCGCTGGCCCTGGATCTGCACGCTGGGCACCGACGCCCGCGGCGCCAGGAGCAGCGGGGGCGGCCCCGTGCTGGAGTGCTGCCGGATCGTGTGGATTTGCTGCGGGAGAGACGGGAATGGGATCAGCCTCCGGAGAGCAGGGACGGGGGGGAAGGAGGAGGGAGCCTGGGAGTGACGTCCCTTCCCCTCCCGGAATAAAAGCGGGGACGTGAGGAGGAGCTCGGGCACGAGGCCCAAAGAATCCCGAGTTTCCAAGTGGAACTCTTTCCCCAGGCTGGAGTTTTACACCTGTTTCGTTCTGAGGGCGTTAATCAGGGAAGTTGTTTCTCAGAATGTGGGGTTTTTCCCCCTCCTTCATCCTGGAAAACGTGACAGGAGGTGCTTGGACACGAGGCCACCAAATTATGGCCAAAAAATCCCGAGTTTCTGAGCAAAACTTCTTCCACAGCCTCATTATGGCCCAAAATTCCCAAGTTTCTGAGTCAAAGTCCTTCCACCACCTCATTATGGCCTAAAATTCCCGAGTTTCTGAGCAAAACTCTTTCCACAGCCTCATTATGGCCCAAAATTCCCGAGTTTCTGAGCAAAACTCCTTCCACCACCTCATTATGGCCCAAAATTCCCAAGTTTCCGAGTCAAAGTCCTTCCACCACCTCATTATGGTCCAAAATTCCCAAGTTTCCGAGTCAAAGTCCTTCCACCACCTCACTATGACCAAGAATTCCCAGGTTTCCCAGCCCAACTCCTTCCCCAGGGTGGAGTTTGGAGCCTGTTCCATTTCCAAGCCGTTAATCAGGGAAGTTATTCCTCAAAATGAGGAGTTTTTTTTTCCCCTCCTTAATCCCGTCACTGCAAACCAGTCGGATGAGGAGAGGAAAAGGTGGGATGGGAAGCTGCTGGGAAGGTGGGGAAGGGAGTTGCCCTGGATTAGGGAGTGAAGGATCAAGGCCAACACTCACCTGGGCCCCTCGGACCAGGGGGGGCATCACGATCTGCGTGTTCTGCTGAGTGCCCAGCTTGGAAGACGCCTGTTGCCCCCCCCTGACCAAGGGAGGAGGGATCACAGTGCCCGGTATCCGTGTGGAAGAGGTCTGGAAAAGAGGGAACAGTCACTCCTGGGCTGGAGGGAGGCAGTGGAAAAGCTGGAGGGCAGGAGGTGGCCAGGCTGGGTTTGGTGCACTGAGTGTCCAAAAAAAAACACAGAACCCCCCCAATGATGGGAAAAGGAGTGTTGGGAAGGGGGGAAATGGGGAATACAGACTGCTGGATTCAGGGAGAAGGTGGAGGAAGTGAGTGGATTGGGAAGGAGGAAAAAAAGGCAGGAAAATGGGAAAGCTTTAGGGGAAAAAAAAAAGTCACGGAAAGGAAAAGGAATCAGCCTAAAGGGGTTTCTGGGAATGTGCTGCCCGAGCTTTGCAACCCTCAGAATTCCTCCTGGTGCCGGGACAGGGACGTGGGGACACACCAGGGATGTTCCTGGGGACATCCAACACCCTCCAGGAGCTCCAACACTCCTCTCATCCCATTCTCGGGGCTTCCCATGGGTGCTGCTCCCCTCCTTTCCTCCTTCCCAAGCTGAGCATCCCCTGGGAACAAAGAGCAGGGAATCTCCTGCTTCCCTGAGCAGCTGGGAAGTTTTATCCCTTTCCAACTGAAGCCCAAATGTTCCTTCAGCCCCTTCCCACAGGAATCAGCACCTTTTCCATTCCAGCAGAAGCAGAGGGGGGTTAATGCACCCAAACACCCCAAATTAGGCAGAATAAGCTCAATTTTGGGATTTTTAGCTCCCAGGTCTCTGCTCTGTCCAAGTTTCCCTGGCTGAAGGTTTAACTCCTGGTCCAGTTCCTCTGGAAGTGCTGCCTGAATCCAAGGAAACAGCCTCAGGGAAGGGATTCCTCCAGCTGGCACAGTGCTCTGGTGTGGGAATGTCTCCCCCATTGAGAGCAAACCCCCCCCTTTCCCTGGGTCTGGAATTCCAGGGGATCTCCAGGTGAAGAGCTGCCTTTTCCCACGGGAAAACACTTGGAACTGAAGAAGTTTGGGAATTTGGTTCCAATCAAACACCCAGGAACGTTTGAAATCCAGCAGCAAAACGAGTCACTGGGTTGCAGGGGACGATGAAGGACAGATGCCAAGTGACTCCGCTTTTTCTTCCCCTTTCCCAAGGATTCCCAACATTTAATTCAGCCTGAACCAGGATCCTTCCAGCCCCTGTGTGCCATCCAGCCGGGAAGCCAAGAGGGAATCCCGGGATTCCCTCAGCTCTTCCAGCTCATCCCCCAGCTCAGCCTCTGGAGGCTGCCCCAGAATTCCATGGCATCCCTTCTCCCAAGGCATTGTCAGCAGAGTGGACTGGGATGAGCAGCTGGAAAACGAAGCTCGATGGGAATGGTTTCCACGTGAGACCTCCCATCCCACCACAAAGCTCGGAGTGGGGCCGGGGCAGTTTAAAGAGGGGACTCCCCCCTGGCTCCAGGGAATTCCGGGAATGTTCTCCCTGCCCTGTGCTCCGGGGCCCTCGTTCCTGGGAGCCTTCCCGCCCCACTGACCTGGAGGGAGGGTTTCCCAGCAGGAACACTCTGTGGTCCCCGCACCAAGGGCGGAGGGGTGACAGCACTCCCAGAGGAACCAGCGGGCTGGAAGAGGAAAAACCAGAGAGAAAAGCAGAGGAATAAGGGTGGAAGCAGGAATTACAGCAGGGAAAGGGGGGGAAGAGAGTTCATCCCCAAGAGCCTCGGCACGAGAATCCTCCAAGGCTCCGCCCGTGCCCCCCTCCCACAGCCCCTGCTCCTCCACACCAGGGGATTAGGGAAGGAGGGATGAGGTTGGAGCAGGAAAATCAGGGGTTTCTCCAGCAAGGGGAGCTCTGGCTCAGCTGGGCCAGCCCAGAGCCCACCTCAGCCCTCCCCACCCGCTCCCGCCGGGATCCAGCACCCGGCACAGGGGGAGCGAGCTCGGGAAGAAGCCTCTGGAAGTGAAGAAGTTCAGGATCTGTCTCCCCCTGCTCGGTCCAAACCCCCCCAGCTCCTGGCTCAGGGTTCAGGGCTGCAGGTCCCCGGCTCTGGTTCTAATCCCACCTCCTGAAGCACTTGGAATTCCGGGAGAAGGTGCCAATAACCCACCCAAAGCAGCGCCAGGAGCTGCCTCCCCACCCCCCTCCCACTCCCAAAATCCCCCCCTGCGGCAGCCCCAGGGAACGGGGTCGTTGCCATTGTTACAGGGAACTGGGATTCAGGCTCGGGAGCAGCGTGGGGGGTTCCCACCCCCTCACATCCCAAATTCCTCTGCTCCTCTCCTGCCACCTCCACCTCCAGCGGGGAGCAGCCCAGGAAAAAAAAGCTCTGCCAAAAAAAAAAAACCTCCAAACCCCACAGCCTTTTTCCTGGGATGGTTTGTGCTGCAAAGAGCTCCCCCAGCCCCCCGGGATGTGTGGGATGAGGAGAGGGAAGAGGAGGATGGGAAAAGGGAATCGGGGTGGGAAGGCTGAGCCTTTCCTGCCTGGATTGCTCTGGGGGATGTGCAGCTCAGAGTAGACTCACTTGGGGGAGACCTGGAATCCAGACCTGGGATCCAGACCTGGATCCAAACCTGGGATCCAAACCTGGGATCCAAACCTGGGATCCAGACCTGGGATCCAGACCTGGGATCCAAACCTGGGATCCAGACCTGGGATCCAGACCTGGGATCCAGACCTGGGATCCAAACCTGGGATCCAGACCTGGGATCCAGACCTGGGATCCAGACCTGGGATCTGCCACCAGCTCCCACAGCCTGGGGTTCAAACTCTGGAACTCCCTGTCACCTCCCAGGATCTCCTCGGAGCTATCCCAGCAATCCCTGCACGCCCCATCCCTGGGAGTGTCCAAGGCCAGGCTGGACAGGGCTTGGGAAGAGCTTTAAGGTCCCTTCCCAGCCAAAGCATTCCATGAGTAAGGACTGGAGTGTTTGTTCCATGTTCCACAGGGAATGGCAACTGCCCCAGTTACTGAACCCCCTCCCCTCCATTTCCAGAGGTGGGATAAGCAGGAAAATCCCACCTTCTGAGCCGTGGTCTCCTTCTGGATTTGACTTTGCCGTAACTTTTTCAACAAGACGAGTTTTGCCTCTTCCAACCGAAGCTCCTCCTTGAGCTGCTTGATCATCCTCTCCCGCTCCTCGGGGCTGCTCTTCTGCAGGGAAAGGATGGGAAACTGGGAGTGGGGAGAGGGAAAAGCCAGAGAACCACCCAGGTTCCACCAGGAACTCCCAGCACTGTCACTGTCACCTGTGTCTCAGTGGGGAGAGCTCAGAGAGGGAAATAAAACCCTAATATTTTAAATATTTGAGTATTTAAAAAACGTTTTCAGGGGCAAAAGAAGTGAAAAAGGCTAAAGGAAAGGGAAAGGATGGAAAACTGGGAGTGGGGAGAGGGAAAAGCCAGATAACCACCCAGGTTCCACTAAGTTCCACATTGTCACTGTCACCCGTGTCTCAGTGGGGAGAGAACTCAGAGAGGGAAATAAAACCCTAATACTTTAAATATTTGAGTATTTAAAAAATGTTTTCAGTGGTAAAAGAAGTGAAAAAGGCTAAAGGAAAGGGAAAGGATGGAAAACTGGGAGTGGGAAGAGGGAAAAGCCAGAGAACCACCCAGGTTCCACCAGGAACTCCCAGCATTGTCACTGTCACCCGTGTCTCAGTGGGGAGACAACTCAGAGAGGGAAATAAACCCCTAATATTTTAAATATTTGAGTATTTAAAAAACGTTTTCAGTGGCAAAAGAAGTGAAAAAGGCCAAAAAAGAGGTGCTGGATGAAAGCCTGTGCTGGGCCACACCGAGCGAGGCACTTCAAAAAGCCCCCTCTGAACTTTTAAAAAGCAGCCAAAACCCAGAGGCCGAGCTGGAACCAGGAGGCTTCAACCAGCGGCTCCAGGACTTCCCTGCCCGCGAATCCACCCCCGTGCCAAGGATGGGGATCCCAGGAGGAGCCAGGGGGGGTTCCCAGCCCGGCCTCACCATCAGGGCCTCGGTGCTGGTCTCCTTGAGGGCGATCTTGGTGAGCCCGTTCACGCGCGGGCTCGAGGGCTCGTTGTCCGACAGCACGATGACGTCCGGGGACGGGACCCTCCTCTCCCGCTTCGCCTCGCTGGGGACGGAGCAGAAACACAGGGAAGGGCCCCGTGAGACCCAGGGAAGCCCGAGTTTGGTGCTGCAGGGCTGGGTCGGCGACCGCCTCGTGCCAGGGGAGCAGCCTGGGAGAGGGGGGTGGGACAGTGGGGTGGGAGAGTGGGGTGGGAGAGTGGGGTGGGACAGTGGGGTGGGAGAATGGGGTGGGACAGTGGGGTGGGAGAGTGGGGTGGCCCTGCCCTGCTCCTCGAGGTCCTGCCAACCCAACCCACCCCACGAGTCCCTGACTGACCCCAAATCCTGAATGAACCTGAGGGAAGAAGCTCAATTCCCCTTTTCCCTGTGGACACCCCGAGGTGACGGGTGCAGCCACAGCACGGAGCCATCCCTGGAATGCTTTGGGTTGGAAGGACCTTAAAATGCTCCAGTGCCACCCCCTGCCACGTCCCCAGAGAAAAAGGGGAATTCCTTCCCAACAGGAGCTTTTCCATCACCCCCCCCTTGGAGGACACAGAGGTTTTCCAGGGCTCTGCTCGCACATCCCACCCCAAATCCAGGGATAACTCGCTGCTTCTCCTTAACTGCTGAAAGGCAAAACCACATCCCCAGTTCTCCTCCTCCTTCCCCAGTCCAAGTATTTGTGATTTATGGCTTTTCCCACCCGAGTTCCTGAATCTGAAGGAGATCCCACACTGACCATCCACACTTATTCACTTCGCCCAAATTTAAGCCCTTTTTTTTGGCATTATTTTCCTTCTGTATCAACACTCCTGAATTATTTCCCACTTGGAACACGGGAATCCCGTGACAGCCTCAACACAGATGGACACATCCATCAGAAATCCATCAAATCCTGGCTGTGTCCCAGGGATTTAACTCCTTTATTTGGCTGTGTCTGAGTGATGGTTCCACCTTCCACCCCAATTCCTGACAATAAATCACCTGCTGGCTCCATTCCCTGCAATTATCCCAGGAGAACTGGTTGGATCACCTCTGGATCACCGGGATTTGGGATTTCAAGCCGGGAATAACATTCCAGAGCGAGGTTTGGAGCACAGGGGGTCGGGAAGGGGAGACCCAGGTTTCCTGTGCCACCCAGGGGATGACAGTGCTGGGCCCCCACGGCAGGAATTTTAGGGGTGGGAAAGTGGGAAAAGAACTAAGGAATAAGTAAGGGAATGTCCTCTAGAGGGCACAGCGAGCCCGGGAACTCCAGGCATCCAAACTCCGAGGGGTTTTCAAATTTCAGCGGCTCAGGTGAAGGATTCCCAGCTTTCTCCCGGATCTGAACGGGCTCAGGCTGTTCTTAGACGGGATGTAACTGGGCTGGGACAAGGCCTGACTGGCTGGAGAGCTGGGAATGCGCTGGGAATGTGCTGGGAATGCACTGGGAAGAGGCAGCTGAGCCCTTTCCAGTGACAGATGGAGCAGCTCCGGGATAAGGACTGAGCCCTGCCTGGGGAAGGAAGGAGTGATTCCCACCTGGAAAAAGACTGAACCCACCCGGGGAAGGGAGGACCAAATCCCCCCTGGGACAGAATTCCCCCTGGAGCAGGACCCAGCCCCACCTGGAGCCAGGCACCGGCCGCTCCTCCTCCAACTTCCATCTTAAATCCCTCATGGAAAGCAGGGACAAGTTAAAGTTCCTTAAAAACTCCGGGAACCCCCCGGGCAGGGGGATCCGAGCGGCACCCGGGATGAACCAGCCCTTTCCTGGAACCCAACCCTTCCCTTCCCTTCCCTTCCCTTCCCTTCCCTTCCCTTCCCTTCCCGGCCGCTCCGGCAGCTCCACCCTCGAGCCGGGGAGGGAAGCAGGGGAGGGAAGCAGGGGAGGGAAGCAGGGGAGGGAAGCAGGGAAGGGATCCAAGGGAAGGGATCCAAGGGAAAGGATCCAAGGGAAGGGATCCAGCAGGAGGGTTCCACTCGGCTCCGGGTGACAACTCGGGGCCACCCTTGTCCCGTTCCCAGGGAGGATCCCGGGAGGATCCGGGGTCGGGAGGATCCCGGCGGGACCCGGAGCCGGCGGATCCCGAGGGTGGCACCGGGGCCACCCCAGGGTCACGTGGGGCCGTGGCTGTGACGTGCTCGTGGCCAAATCCATGGCAACGGGCCGGGCTGCCCGGCCTTCATTTTGTCAGCTCCGGGAGCTCCGGGAGCAGGTGCCTCCGGAGAAAATGGAGCGGCCGGAACCGGGAGCACCGGGAGCGCCCGGAGCAGGGCCAGGAAACCGGGAACGGGCGGCTGGAGAAGGGAAAAGGAGCCCCAGGAGAGGCGTGGAGTCTCCGGGCAGGAAGATGCCATCCAGCCTTTCCCGGGATACCACGGCAATTCCAGGGAAAAAACAACAAAACCCAACCCAAAAAGCTCCTTTCCCGTGGGGGACAGGGAATGCTTGGTTGTTGATCCAAAGGGAAGAAGAAGGGGCTGAATCCAGCCCTGGAGGTTTGATTCCACTTGGGAAGAGGAAGGAACTCAAGTTTTGCCCTGAAGATTAATTCAATTTTCGTGTCCGGTTAAATTTTCCTGTTGGATTTAATTTTTGTGTGGAAGGTGAATCCAATTTTTGCCTTCAGCACAAATCAGATTTTTTTCCCCTCAAGAGGAAGATGCATCCAAACCTCTCCATCCCAAACCCGCCTCGAGCCGGACTCGACTTTTCCCAGCGGGAAAAGTTCTTTCAAGGAACTTCCCAGGAAGGCGAAGTTTAAACTGGACACTTGGAAAAGTGCGTGTGGGGAATAAAAAAAGGGACACTGAGGAATCCCTGGCTCGGGGGATTCTCCCTGATGCACAGAAGAGCTCCTGGGAGGAAGGAACATCCCAACATTCCCAGCCTGGAGCTTCATCTGCATCCACAAATATGCAGCAGTTTTGCCTCAGTCCATTCAAGCCCTCGTGTTGTCTCATCCAAAAATACTTGGCAGGGAAGGAAGACAAACAAGGAGAGCAAAAACAAGGCACTGGGGAATTTTTTTCTTCCCCCCCCCCCCTCCTGGAGGTGTTTTATCTCCGGGAATCAAAGGATTGTGATGGGGGCGGGAAAAGGAGGAGAAGGGACCAGAACAGGAGCTTAAAATCCACTTGGGTTGGAATAAAATGTTAAATTCCCCCCAAGGAATCGGTTTTGCAACGAGATCCTTCAGGACAGCACGTGGCTGGAGGCACAGGCACGCTGGGAGGGGAGGAAAATCCCTAATTCCAGGGTTTCCAAGGGAAAAGAGGAGCCCACCGGTCCCAGTAAGTTCCAGTACCAGGAAGAGCTGGGCCAGCCAAGCCCAGGGACCAACAACACCTCCCAGTCCCACTCAGGTCCAGTCACTCTTTTAACTTTCAAATGGGATTTGACCAGATTAAACAAAACAAACAAAAAAACAAACAACCCCCAAACCGACCTCGAATCCTTCAGAACACGAAAATTCCGCGTCCAAACCCGGAGGGGGAAACCCAGGGCACAGACTGGGCCCCAACCGACCCCAAAATCCACAGGAATAATTCGTGGGCTGGTTTGGATCGAGGCGCTGCCTTGACACACGTCAAGGGAATTCCAGGATTAACCCACCAATCCCAGAAAACGGGGAAAACACGGGAACAACGCCAAGATGTCCAAGTGCCTGGAAGTTTCCCAGGGCACACGTTGATCCCAGCACTGGGACAGGACACAGGGAGGACGGGATGGAGGGAGGGATGGGTGGGAGCCAACCCTTGAATTTGTGCTTTGTTATCACTCCCTGGTAAATCCCGTTTTCCCTCCCTCCCAGTTTTCCCTGGATCACTCCAAAGCCTCACTCTGCAGAATTCCTGGAGTGAAGCACCTGTTTTAGGGTTCCTTGTTTGGAGAATCCCTGTGAATTTTGAGGATTTAGGAGAGCCCAACACAGGAGCACCTCCCCTGGGAACACCTCCCACTTCCCTCAGGAGCAAAGTTTTCCAAGAATTGGGATAACTGGGCTCTGGAAGGATCCTGATGCTTTTGCTCCAGAGGACAATTTGTCCTCCTGGAGCTGCCCAAGACCCAGCAGTGTCCAGAGGGATCCCCGTGGGCTCTGCCCAGGAATCTCTGCTCACAACCAGCTCAGTTTTTACGGCTCAGGGGAGAGTTTTGGGGGGGGAGGAAAAAAAAAAAACCCTGGAAAACGGCCAGGAGGTGTTTGTTGTGTGGAGGAAGGAGCTGCACCTGGAGCACAACAACCCCAACACAATCCAGGGGAAAACTCCAGCCTGAGGTGGAAAGGCTGCTGCTCAACACAGGGAAAAGGTGGGAAACTGGGATTGAAGGGGAAGGAGCAGAGGGAAGGGGAAGGACGAGACACGGACCGAGCCAGGAGTGAGAAATGTTCTCGTGGGTGAAGTCAGGGAATGCACAGGCAGAGGGAGTTTTGGGGCATTGCTCTGCCTGCCACGTCCTTCTCCAGGGGGAGCAGGCTCTCCTTCCCCCCCATCCCTTCTTTCTCCAGAGGGTTTGGGATAACCGGCAGCAGCTCCCGAGAGCAGCAGGAGCAAGGCTTTGGTTTGGCCTCGTGTGACCCCTCAGCAGAGCCTTCCAGAGCCTCCTCCCAGCACCTGGGGCTTCCCTCTGCCCCCCCTGGCACAGCAACCCCGCCCAAACCAGGCCCTGGCTTTGAATTTCACTTGGAGGTTTAAGAAAAAAAACACCCAAACCCAAAAATTTAAAAAACCCCAACGAAACCGTTTTTCCAGTCGAAGGCTCGTTTGTCCTTCGGGATCCCGAAACCCCCGACTGCAGAGCCTGCCCTGCCCCTTCAGCCACGCTGGGATCACGGCTGGGCCACCTTTTCCAAGGAAAAGATGATGTTTTCAGTGCTTTTAGCACTGAAGGAGGTTGAGGAGCCTCCGGAGCACAGATCCCCAGGCACTGAGGGGGCGGGAGCAGGGCAGGGACTGGGAGCAGCAACTTCCACCAGGTGTCAAAATCCAGGCACCTCCAGGAGGCTTTTCCAGCACAGCACCCACAGCATTCCCAGGGCCAAGTCCCACCAACTTCCAACCCAACGAGTCCCGTTTTGACACCCACTCAGGAAGGATCCCACTGCAAAATTCCAGCTTCTCTGCTTGGTACAATTACATCCCGTTGTTTTCCCAGATCAATCCCAAACACCCAAACCCCTCTTCCACACCCGAACCTCCACCAGGAGCTCAAAGCAAACCCTTTCCAAGGCCAGGCTGGAGCATCCTGGGACAGTGGGAGGTGTCCCTGCCCCTGGCAGGGGGTGGAATGGGATGAGCTTCGAGGTCCTTCCCACCCAAACCATTCCAGGATCCTCTTTAGGACCTGTGAGCTCATTTAAACCCACATTCCTCTCCTCAGCTGCCAAAGGAAAGCCAGGAAGGAGCTGCTGGATCTCAGGAGAAGATCCAGAGCTGCACATCCACGTCCTTGCTTTAATTCCCTTCAACTCCTTCCTGGTGCCCCCGACCCCATCCCAGTGCCCATGGCAGGGGGAGGGATGGGATGAGCTTCCAGCTCCCTTCCAACCCGAAGCACTGCAGCATTCCAGGGCCTTCTCTGGTGTCCAGGGACAGCAGGGAGCACCTTTTGGAGGTGCTCATGCCCCCAGGGAGGTGGGGACTCACCTTTTGGAGGTGCTTATGCCCCCAGGGAGGTGGGGACTCACCTTTTGGAGGTGCTCATGTCCACGGGCTCGTCCCCCGTCTGAACCTCCACCTTGATGGTCGCCTTCACCTCTCCAGCCTTTAACAGTCCCTGCACTTTGCCAGCTCCGGGCTCTGCCTTGATTTTCATGTCTCCCTCAGAGTTCAGCTCCGTCCCCAAGAGTCCTTTCTCCATTTTGAGTTTCTTACTGTCCACATCGTTGGGGGTCACGTCCCGCTCCAAGGCTCGTTTCTGACTCCGAGTCCTGCATGTTTCCTCTGTCATTGTGAGCTCCTGCCGGGGAGGGGGACACAGAGGAGTTAAAAAAACAAAAAAAACCCCCAAACCCCAACCTGGACAAAACACCTTCATTTCAAAACAGGGCAAAGTGCAGCAGTTGCTGCAGAAGAAGCTCGGGGAGAGCAATAAAAGCACTGCCAGGTGTCTCCCGGATCCAGCCCCGGCATCGCTCACACTCCTCATGGTCGGCAAAAACAGGCAGAGGAGCCAAAACAAGAACACCCCCAAACCTCCCTGAGCACCCCCAAACCTCCCTGAGCATTGACTGAATCACCCAGGAGAAAACCTCCACGCCAGGAGAACATGCCAGCCCTCCTGCAGAGCCTGGCTGTGCCCCGGGAGGCAGCAGGAAGGGCCGGATGTGTCTGGATGTGTTTGCCTGTCACACAAATCGGTGCAATCACAAAATTCCTCATTAGGATCTCCCTGGGATGGGGCTGCCCTGCCTTCCCCAGGCTGGGAATTCCAGGAATCAGAGCCCCCCATTCCATGGGGGGGGATAAGGGACCATCACAGCCTGGGGGAGAGGAGAGGAGAGCCCGGAGTTGTGACCACACTCAACTTGGGACCTGCTGCCCTGCTGGGGGGGAGCCAGGCCAGGCTTTAGGGCCAGGCTGGGCTTTAGGGGGAGGCTGGGCTTTAGGGGGAGCCAGGCCAGGCTTTAGGGGTAGGCTGGGCTTTAGGGGTAGGCTGGGCTCAGGGGGAGCCAGTCCAGGCTTTAGGGCCAGGCCAGGCTTTAGGGGCAGGATGAGCTCAGGGGGAGCCAGGCTGGGCTTTAGGGGGAGCCAGGCCAGGCTTTAGGGGTAGGTTGGGCTTTAGGGGCAGGATGAGCTCAGAGGGAGCCAGGCTGGGCTTTAGGGCCAGGCTTTAGGGGCAGGCTGGGCTTTATGGGCAAGATGAGCTCAGGGGGAGCCAGGCTGGGCTTTAGGGCCAGGCTTTAGGGGCAGGCTGGGCTTTAGGGGCAGGCTGGGCTGAGGGGGAGCCAGGCTGGGCTTTAGGGCCAGGCTTTAGGGGCAGGCTGGGCTTTAGGGCCAAGCTTTAGGGGCAGGCTGGGCTTTAGGGCCAGGCTTTAGGGCCAGGCTTTAGGGGCAGGCTGGGCTTTAGGGCCAGGCTTTAGGGCCAGGTTGGGCTCAGGGGGAGTCAGGCTGGGCTTTAGGGGCAGGCTGGGCTGAGGGGGAGCCAGGCTGGGCTTTAGGGCCAGGCTTTAGGGCCAGGCTTTAGGGCCAGGCTTTAGGGCCAGGCTTTAGGGGCAGGCTTTAGGGGCAGGCTTTAGGGCCAGGCTTTAGGGGCAGGCTGGGCTCAGGGCCAGGCAGGTTTAACCCCTGGGCTGCCGGGGCAGGGCAGGGCAGCCCCCGGGTACCTGCGGGCACAGCCCCGGGCGCGGAGCTGAGTCAGGCTGGGATCCCGTGACATCCCCCGGCTCCACATGACCCTTCCCAGGATGCAGCCTGAGAGACAAAGCACTTTCCAGAAACCAGTCTGAGCCGGCAGCACGCTCAGCTCACCCCGGGCACCCTGCCCTTCCTCCTCCTCCTCCTCCTCCTCCTCCTCCTCCAGCACCCACACTGCCCCCCGCGCTGGGATGAGCCCCCCAGCCCGGACTCTTAACTAATTAATGGCACTAATTCAGTTATTTGCACTGCCCTTCCCCTCTTCTAAAGAGATTTTATCCTTCTCTTTTAAAGAGGTTTTACCCCTCTCTATTTTAAAGACATTTCACCCCTATTTTAGAGATTTTACTCCTCTCTTTTAAAGATATTTTACCCCATTTTAGAGATTTTACTCCTCTCTTTTAAAGACATTTTACCCCTATTTTAAAGAGATTTTACTCCTCTCTTTTAAAGACATTTTACCCCTATTTTAAAGAGATTTTACTCCTCTCTTTTAAAGACATTTCACCCCTATTTTAAAGAGATTCTACTCTATTTTAAAGACATTTTACCCCTATTTTAGAGATTTTACTCCTCTCTCTTTTAAAGACATTTTACCTCTCTTTCAAAGAGATTTTACCCCTCTCTATTTTAAAGAGATTTTACCCCTCTCTATTTTAAAGAGATTTTACCCCTCTCTATTTTAAAGAGATCTTATCCCTCTCTTTTTTTAAAGAGATTTTTTTTTTTTTGAGAGATTTGGCTCTGCCAACTGGGGTGGGATGAGACAAACCCCCCCCTCCCTTAACTTTTAACTAATTAATGGCATTAATTTAGTTATTTTCACTGTCCTTCCCCTCTTTTAAAGAGATTTTATCCTTCTCTTTTAAAGACATTTTACCCTTCTCTTTTAAAGACATTTTTCACCTATTTTAAAGAGATTTTATCCTTCTCTTTTAAAGACATTTTATCCCTATTTATCTCTCACTTTTAAAGAGATTTTACCCCTCCCTTTAAAGACATTTCACCCCTCTTTCAAAGAGATTTTATCTCTCTCTTTTAAAGATATTTTGCCACTCCTCTTTTTTAAAAAAGATTTTTTCCCCTCTCTTTTAAAGAGATTTTTTCCCCCCTCCCTCTTAAGAGATTTCTTTTTCCCCCACAGTCTTTTTAAAAAGGTTTGTTCCCTCTCTTTTTAAAGGGATTTTTTCCCCCCCTCTCCTCTTTTTTTTCCAGGCTCTGCCAGCCGGGGTGGGATGAGACAACCCCCCCACCCTTAAATTTTTAACTAATTAATGTCATTAATTTATTTATTTTCGGCGTCCTTCCCCTCTTTCAAAGAGATTTTCCCCCCTCTTTTAAACACATTTTTTCTCTCTCTCAAAGAGAATTCCCCCTCTCTTTTAAAGAGATTTTTTTCCCCCCTCTCTCCCCCTTTTAAAAGGGATTTCCCGGCACACAACAGTTCCCCAAAGTGTTGGAAATGTTTGGAGCAGCCCGAGATTAACATAATTAACATAATTACGCAACATAATTAACCCCAGAGCCCCCCCCCCTTTAACTGAGTCCCGTGTCAGGGTGGGAAATTCCTGCTGGGAGGGGGGAAAACCCCAGGAAGTGACCCCAGAAAGTTCCTCTGCACTGGCTGGGGTTAAATATATCAATATATGAATATATAAATATATCAATATATAAATATATCAATATATCAATATGTCAATATATAAATATATCAGTAGATAAATATATCAATATATTTAATGTTATTTGCAAGGGCTCCCCCAGGCTCGTGTGCAGTGACCCCACAGGAGCTGGTGAGGACAGAGAACACCAAATAATGGCCCAAAAGGGGTTTGTCAGCCCGGGGGGTGGAATTTGGGGGTTTGGGACGTGGCTGAACAGCCCCAGCCCGGGTAGAGGGAGGGAGAACGATCTTTCCCGGGGAGGCAACGCCTTCCCTTGCCATGACCCAAACCTTGGCCACTGTTCCCAAAACCCCCTGGCCATCGATCCCCCCAAACCCAAAACCCCTCCCACTTGATTCCCAAACCCCCCGCCTACTGATCCCAAACCTCCTGCCACTGATCCCCAACTCCTCCCACTGATCCCAAACTCCTCCCACTGATCACAAACCCCCCTGCCACTGATTCCAAATCCCCGCCTTTACTGATTTCAAACCCCCTGCTGCTTTCAACTGATCCCCAAAACCCACTCCCATCCTATCCAAACCCCTGCAACTGATCCCAAACCCCCTCCCATCGATCCCAAACCCTCCTGCCCATTGATTCCCAAACCCCCTTCCCATTGTCCCAAACCCCCTCCTACTGATCCCAAACCCCTGCCACTGATCCCAAACCCCCTCCCATCGATCCCAAACCTCCTCCTACTGATCCCAAACCTCCTGCCACTGATCCCAAACCCCCTCTCACTGATCCCAAACCCCCTGCCACTGATCCCAAACCCCGTGTCACTGATTCCAAACCCCCTCCCATCGATTCCAAACCCCCTCCCATCGATCCCAAACCCCCTCTCACCCATTCCACAACTCCCTCTCCACCTCTTCCAAATTTTCCAAGACCCTTCCACCTCTTCCACACCCCCACTTTTCCAAACTCCCTCCCCAGCTCTTCCAAACCCCCTCCACCTTTTCCAATCCCTCATCCACCTCTTCCAAAACTCCCTCTCCACCTCTTCCATAACCCACCTTTTCCAAACTCCCCCCACCTCTTCCAAAACCCTTTTCCAACCTGCCTCCACCTCTTCCAACCCTCTCCAACCTCTCCCATCCACCTCTTCCAACCTCCATCCACCCCTCCCAACTCCCCCCTCCAACCATTCCAACCCCCCTCCACCTTTTCCAACCCCTTCCAAACCTGTTCCAACCTTCCCATCCACCTCTTCCAAACCCCTCTCCCACCCTTTCCAACCCCTTCCAAACCTGTTCCAACCTTCTCATCCACCTTTTCCAACCCCCTCTCCCACCTCTTCCACCCCCCCTCAGCCTCACAGCCCTCAGGGAGCAGCTTTTCCCTGGAATTCAGGCGTCCCTGCTGCCGGCACAGCACCCTGACAACTGCATCCCCCCCGGAGTGTGTCCAGCCGGGAATCCCAGCTCTCATTCCCATTATCCCAGGGCTCTCATTCCCATTATCCCAGGGCTCTCATTCCCATGGAGCCGGGGCTGGGCCGGGGCAGCTCCCACCGGGAAGGGCCGGGAAGGGCCGTCAATCCCCGGGAGCGGCTCCTTCCAGCCCTCCCTGAACCCTGAGCCGGGTTTCCTTTGGGATTCTCCTCTGGGATTCTCCTCTGGGATTCTCCGGGATGAGCAGCTCCAGCTCCAGCTCCCGATCCTGGAGCGACGGCGGCGCTTCAGGGACTTCCCAAAGTTTGGGGGGCTGTGATTGAGCCCCGTGGGGTTTTTGTTGGGATGGGGGGAGGCAGTTCCCGGAGCTGCCCCGGGACATTCCACACATCCCACAGGGAGCCGAGCCTGGCTCAGTAATCCTGGAATAACGGGAATGGTCTGAGCCCTGCACTGGCACTGAGTTATTGAAACAGCCCAAAATCCCGAAGGGAAGCAGGTGCTGGATCCTGGATCCCCCATGGAGCACCTGCTTTCCAGGGGAGACAGGGATGGGGGCAGGAACATCCCTCTGGAGCATCTCCGGGACAAACCCCTGGGACACAAAGTCCTCCCAAAGGTCCCACTGAACAGACCAACAGCCCAGATGGAAAGGCTGGACGAGCCTTTCCAACCCCCCATCCCAGCCCGAATTCCCAAGGACACCCCATTTCCCAGCCCTGGAATTCCTTTGGGAGCAAAAACCAAACACCAACAACCCCCTCCCTAAGCACGACCTGGGAAATCACAGGAAAAGGGAGAGAAGGGAGGGGAAAAAAAAAGGGAAAACCCCCAAAATTCCCAGTTCCAGAGGAGGGTCAGACACATTCCAGGCCTCCCAGGGAGCGTTTTCTACGGATCTGATCCCAACTTTGCTGCTCCTGAGGATCCACTGGAATCCTCAGGACACACCAGCCTTGCAGCCACCTTGGATCACTCCCCCACAGTGCCTGGGAATCCTTTTCTCCCAGCAGGACATGGAATGTTCCCCTGGGAAGTCGCTGTTTGACCTGAGCTTGTTTTCCAGTTCTGTCACAAGTGGCTTTTTTCTTTCCCCCCCCCCTAAAAAAAAAACTCCTGGGGCACGGAGCCAGAAGGGAAATAACCTGGGAAAAGTCCTTAAAAATCGAGACACAAATTAATAAAATCCATCTCTAAGGCATGGAGTGCCATCCCTGTGTCCATGGGTGACAACAATCCATGGAAAACATGACCTGCACACAAAGTTCACGACCCTGTCATGCAGATATTTAAAAAAAATGAACTTTAAGGCGCCAAATTCGGGACTGATCTTGGATTTTAGAGGCTGAACCGACGCCGGGGCAGCGGGACAACGCCACAGGTTGGAAAACTGGCTCATCCCACCCCGGGATCCACCTGGATAAGCACAGATCCAGGTTCTCCCAGGTGAAGGGGGCACGAGGCAGGAGGGCAGGGAGGGCTGGGGGGTCCCTGGGGCGGCTCAGGCCGTGCCTGGGGCTCCGGATCCCGGGAAAAGAGGAGCCCCGGGAGCGCCGGGGCCGAGGCGGGCGGGGGATCCCGGCTCCATCCCTGCTCCCGGCGGGAACGCCGGCCCGGCCCGGCCCTCCAAGGGTTAAGTGCTGCCATTTCGGTGCCATTCCCGATGTGTCCATTAAGGGTGTTACATAACAAAATGGCAGCGCTTAACCCTTCCCTGGCCGCGCTCCCGCCGCTGCTGCTTCCCGGGATCTGCCTCGGGCCGGGATCCCCCCCCCGCCCCCTCCCCGGCCCCGCTGGGATCGTCTCCCCCTTCTCCCGGCTCCTCCAGGGGAACTCGGACGGGCTGCTGAGGGCTGGGAAATCCTCGCCATTCCCAGGGATCAGAGCCCACGGGAGTCCCCTCCCGTGCCAGGAGCGGGAAGTTGTCCGGAGTGATGCACCGGCAGGGATTGGCAGCGCTGGGAAAAGAGGAAGGAAACAGAGGGGAAAACGTGGGATAACGTGAGAAAACGTGGGAAAAGGGAGCCTGGAGGAGCCGGGAGCGGCCACGGGGCCCCCACGTGGTGCCGGACTCCGAGGGGAGCTCGGGAAGCACTTCCAGCCCCAGGGATCTGCTGCTCCCTCCATCCTCGCCCTCGGGAATTGCGGAGCGCCGGGAAGCGACCCGGGGGAAACACTTCCCAAAGGGAATGTCTGGAGACGGGGCTGAGCTCCTGCACCAGGGACACGGAGCTCGGGGCTGGGCCAGGAACGGGATTCTGGGAGCTGGAATCTGGGAGCTGGAATCCCACTGAGCTGGAATCTGGGAGCTGGAATCCCACTGAGCTGGAATCTGGGAGCTGGAATCCCACTGAGCTGGAATCTGGGAGCTGGAATCCCACTGAGCTCGGAGTCACCTCCCAGCTTCCCACAGATCCCTGGGCACTCACCTTCCAGCTCCCTGCCGGGGCTCTGGGCAGGGACAGGAGCATCCCAAAGTGCTACTAGAGACGGAGCTGGAAAAGTGGGAAAAGCTGCTGCCTGGAAAAACCATCACTTGCCTGATTTTTGTAAAACTCTGAGGCCACTGAGGCGAGGGGAAGTGACAGAAACTACGGGAGAATTTTGCTGATTTTGTCGGAATTCAGAGGAGTTTCCACTGTCGGGGGAAAATTCTAATAAAGCAATTAAAAATCTATTAAAATATGATTTTTTTTTTCCCCCTCTTAAATACTTTTCCTGGTGCTGCTGCTCCTCACTTTTGGAGGATCCAGCCTGGAAACCAACCCCTGCCACAACCACAGGGGTTCCAACTCCGGGATTCAGGGATGAGCTGCGGGGATGGAGCTGGTTCTCTGTCACCCCTGGGGATCCCCCCCCAGCAGAGGATCAAAATCCAAGTGGGTTTTGTTGAAGGACAAAGCCAGGAGCAGAATTTCCCAGCCCCTTCCTGCCAGGAATGGATTTCTCCAGGCACATTGATATTAATTAATCATTAAAAACTATTTATTTGGGACTCTCCAAAATAAAACCTTCTGCTTAAAGGGGGCCACGGCTTTGATTGCAACTTTTATTTACTGGGGGATTTTGATATTAAATATTCAATTTAAATATTAAACAATGGGCTGCAATCAAACTCTCCCCCCCCCCTCCCCAATTAATGTCTGATGTTTATTAAAGGAGGGATCCTGAGCTGGTTCATTGATTTTAATGTGGCCAAATTTGCATATTTAAATAGCCCCTCACAACCCCAGCACCACAGGCTGGGCACGGGATAACAGGGGCAAAATTCCTTGGGATTCCTGGATTTTTTATGGACTGGCTGCAGCCCCCTCTCCCAAAACAAAGATTCCTGTTCAATCCCACAGAAAAATCACTGGACTTGGATTGTGGTAACAAGCTCAATGCACCAAAAAAAAAAATGGTATTTCTATATTTTACGTGCTTTTCTACAGCAGCACGAGGGGTTTGGGGCGTTTCCAGGTGATAATTCACCCAAAAAAGAGCAGGTGGAGGAATTCCCATGATCCAAGCTGGATCCTCCTGCTGCTCCTGCCCCTTCACCTCTGGCTCAGGTCACCCAGAGAGGTGTTCCCAGGGTTCCACTCCCCGTTTTTCGGTCCCCAGGATGGAACCCCTGGGCAGGATTTGGGTCACAAACAGCAACAGGAGGTGAGGTGGGAGGAGAAGTGAGGACCAGGAATGCTGAGCACTGACCCTGGAATGTCCTGAGCCGGGAGGGATCCACAGGGATCACCCCCCAGGAGTCTCCCCTCACTCCCTGCTCCAGCTGAACAATCCAAGTGCCCTCAGCTGCTCCTCATCCCCCTTTTTTGGAGGGAAAAATCCCCCCCCCCACGCAATGGATAAATCCCTAAATTCCTCCTTAGAAAACGCTCCCTTTGACACCCCCTGGGACTGGGGAGCCCCAGAGAGGACAGAGCTCGGCTGCTCCCTCCCTGAGCGTTGCCAGGGCTCCAAAATCCCTGCCTGGATTTCACTCCCATTCCCACATTTCACTCCCATTCCCACATTTCACTCCCATTCCCACATTTCACTCCCATTCCCACATTTCACTCCCATTCCCACATTTCACTCCCATTCCCGGTTTCTCTCCCGGGGGCTGCACGAACGCCCAGGACACACAAGGAATGCCAGGGAGGAATTTCCCTGCTTGTTTTTGCTCCTCCTCTTGCCCCAGACCAACAACATGGAGCAGCTGCCGTGAAACCTCCCTGTCCCTCAGGACACTTGGGAGATTTCCCTCCTTTGGAGTGTGAGACGCTCCGGGAAAAGGGAGTTTTGGGGAAGGCACAGAACCGAGTTTGATCCTTCAAGGCGGGAGCTGCAGGTGCAGGACACAATTCCCCCCATCCCAGTGTTCCCAGGACTGGAATTCCAGGCTGTGCCGTGTCCCAGACGCTCCCATCCCACGGCATTCCCGGCTCCTACCTGGCAGGGAAGGTCATGGGTTCCCGCGGGGATCCCGACGGGGCCGAGCGGCACAGAGGGACGTGGCTGAGGATCCTGAGGGGAGAGAGAGGAGGGTCAGGACACTCTGGGGCAGGACCCACCCCAAACACCCCGCTGGGACACTCGTCCCAACCTCCGGAACCCGCGGGAAGGAGGGAAGAGCCGCATCCCGGGATTTAAGGGAAGGGAGTGCAGGTCAGGCTTGGGGTTCTCGCTGCGTGTTCCCTCAGTCTCTGCTTCTTCCATCAACATTCCCAGAGAAAATCATCCCTCTGGTTTGACCCAAACACTTCCTGGAACCAACATTCCCATCTCTGAGCTTCCCTCGAGGAGGAAAGGACCTCCCAAGGTCTGAGTTTGTCCTGAGTTTACCTGGAGCTCCCTCCCAAGTCTGAAATCAGCTGCTGAGCCCCCTCCCCACTTCCCACCTGGGATAACAGCAGCACACATCCACACATCCACGCAGGAAAACCACTTGGAGACACAATTTCAGGAAGAGCCTCGTTGCCTTTAACTTGTCCAACGAGCCAACAGGCCCCAGCCGAGCCTGGATCATTAATTGCACTAATTATCACCACGCAGCCGACGCGACTGCCCAGCGTCAGCCACGTGCAGGGAATGGCACTGGAGGGGCGGGAATGTTGGGATGGGGGGGAAGGGAGCTGCCCTTGGCTGGGACCCCACGTTCAGCACTCTGGTGTTTTCACTCCAGGGCAGGTTTAAAGCCAAGCTGGATGTGCTGGGTGGGTTTAGTCCAGAGAGGGGATCCCAGCAATCCATAAATATCTCCAAGGATGAGTCCAGAGGATGGTCCCAGACTCTTCCCAGGGGTAGGACAAGGAGTGATGGCCAGAAACTAAAAACACACCAAGTCCCAGCTCAACGGGAGGAAGAACTTCTGTCCACGGAGGTGGCAGAGCCTGGAACAGCTGCCCAGGCAAGGAGTGGAGTCTCCCTGTCTGGAGACATCCCAACCCCTCCTGGACACATCCCAACCCCTCCTGGACACATCCCAACCCCTCCTGGACGTGTCCCTGTGCCACCAGCTCCAAGTGACCCTGCCCGGGCAGGGGGTTGGACTGGGGGGATCTCCAGAGGTCCCTCCCAATCCCAACCATCCTGGGATTCCATGCCACTGCCCCCAGGACACGGGTGAGGTCAGTTGTCCCCTGTTCCTGACCCTGTTGGAGGCCCCGTCCCCATTCCCTGCAGCAGCTCCCAGGAAGCTGCAAGTCAAACAACTCCCTGGAGAAGTTTTTGTCCTGCACAGCCTGAAAATCATCCTGAGGCAACATTCCCTGGGTTTGTGGGGCCGTTCCTGCAGCAGCAGCAGCTCTGCTGGCTGGCACTGCCCTGCCCAACAGCACCCCTGTCACATCCTGCAGGGTGTCCCTTCCCACCCTTCCCTCTCCCTCCAGGAAAACACCCAGGGAAGGAGCCCACGGCCAGCCTGCTCCGGGCAGGCAGGAATTCCCACGGGATGTGCCACAGCTCCCGGTGCCAGCGGTGCAGGGGGGGGTCCAGGAGCCCCAATCCTGATATCCCAACCCCGGGACACGGCCCCTGGCAGCCCCGAGATTGCCCGGGATGGGGGAGGGCTCCCGGGATCAGGGTGGGTTCCTGGGATCAGGGTGGGCTCCCCGGATCAAGGTGGGTTCCTGGGATCCAGGTGGGTTCCCGGGATCAGGGTGGGCTCCCTGGGATCAGCGTGGGCTCCCGGGATGGGGGTGGGCTCCTGGGATCAGGGTGGGCTCCCCGGATCAGGGTGGGTTCCTGGGATCAGGGTGGGCTCCCGGGATCAGGGTGGGCTCCCGGGATCAGGATGGTTTCCTGGGATCAGGGTGGGTTCCCGGGATCAGGGTGGGTTCCCGGGATCAGGGTGGGCTCCCGGGATCAGGGTGGGGGTGCAGCCCCATAACTGGTGCCCAGTGGCTGCCCAAACTCCTCCCTGCCAGCTCGACCTCCCGTGGCAGCCACCAGGGACTGAGTCACTTCCCCCCTCCCAAAGTTCCAGAGGGAATTTCCCTTCACCCCAAAGGCAGGGGAGCAGCTGCCCAGCTCCCAGTGCTCCTCCCTGGAGAGGGGGAAGGGCTGGAAAGGGTCACCCCTGGGATCCATCCCCAAAGTCACTCTGTCCCCAGAGCCAGGACACCGTGCCCGGCACAGCTTCCCTGATTTCCTGTCTTAGGCAATCCCAAAAGGATTCCAAAGGTTCACCAAACTGCTACAAAAGTGTAGATACAGAAAGGGAGTGAATGGATCCGGGTCAGCATTCCAGAGGGCAGGTCTGGCTAATTATAGCTCATCCTATTATCCAATGCTTTTCTAATTAGGAGCCCACTGAAAACCTCGGTGGGGCTGGAAAAGCCCCTGGACAGGGCAGGGCACAATTCCATGGGCTCCTCCTGCACCCTGGACACGGACAAACCCTCCCTCAGGGACAGAGAGACACACACAGCCCCCCCTCCATGGGCTGGGGGTGCCAAGGACCACGGGAATTGGGAATTCTGGAACTATGGCACTGACATGGGAATTGGGAGCCCTGGAACTGGGAGCCCTGGCAATGGAATTGGGAGCCCTGGTAATGGAATTGGGAGCCCTGGTAATGGAATTGGGAGCCCTGGTAATGGAATTGGGAGCCCTGGCAATGGAATTGGGAGCCCTGGTAATGGAATTGGGAGCCCTGGCAATGGAATTGGGAGCCCTGGCAATGGAATTGGGAGCCCTGGCAATGGAATTGGGAGCCCTGGCACTGGCACTGGGAGCCCTGAACTCCAGCACAGCCACAGGAATTGGAGATCTGGAGCAGAAGCTGCTGGGGGGGGGAGGAGGGAAAGGGGGGGAAAATAAAAATCCAAATTAAAGTTAAAAAAGGGGGATTCTCCTGCCTGGCAGGGATCATTTCAAGGAGGGGACTGGGAAAGGTCCTGGTGGGAAGGGAGGATCCTCCAGGGAGCACAGGAGGCACCTCCAGCTCAGAGCCTGAGCTTCCCAAGGAGTTTTCCCTGGATGAGCTGGGCAGTGCTCCCTGTGCTGGGGGGTCAGCAGGGATCGCTCCCTCCCAGACCATATTCCCGCATTCCCGAGGCTCCATGAGCACAGGGCAGAACTCCCGGAGTGTCCCTGTCATGGGACCAAAATAGTTTTCCTCCTCCAGGGATCCGGAGGAGCCGTTTAACCCCTTCGGAGCCGCCGCTCCCGCTGACCCACATTCCGGGCCTGGAAGTTTCCACAGGGAGCTCCCGGCTCCACGGCCTCTTCCAGCCCTGCCCAGGCCTCCTCCCGCCTCTCCAAGGTGGGAATTTGGAATTTAACAGGCTCGCTTTGCAGCTGAAGCAACCAAGGAAAACACACCAGCATCCAGAGGAAAAACAGCCCGGAGGATTCCTTTGGAAGCGGCGGCTCAGGGAAGCTGGGGATTAAACAGTTAATCCCTGGAAGCCAAAGCAGCAGCTCTTCCAGCAGAAAAGTGGCTGGGAAGCTTTGGGATGCACGAACTGGAGCTGCAGGAAGCCCTGAGTGCAGGTCCTGGGTGTCCAAGGCCAGCCCTGTGCCCTCCCTGCAGGTCCTGCCCCGGCTCCTCCGGGAAAGCCAAGCCCTGGGAATCCTCTCCCTGCCCCTTGTTCCAGAGCCTGGAGGCTTCATTCCGGAGGATTTCTGGGTCTCATTCTCATCAAGAAACTTTTAAACCCCCGAGAAGTGAAACATTCCAAGGATCCAGCACCCACTGGAGCAGGATCAGCTCCGTTGGCTCAGACCCTTCTCTGGCACTCCCAAGTTTCCCTCTTTTCTTTTTTTTTCTTTTTTTTTTTTCCCCCCTTGAACTAATGCTGGAATTTCTACATCAGAACACCAGGGCTCTCCTTGCCACCAACATTCCCGACTCCCATCACCCAGAAGAACAGTGATCCAGTAAAACCCAGCAGATTTACCCCCCAAAACAGGGGTTTAAAGCGTCACATTTCCAGACCAACACAGGCTTGGGATTCTCCAAATCCTGCACAAACCCCCCTCAGACAACCCAGGGAAGAGAATTTCTGCCCTTTCTGGGAATCTGAGCAAGCTGGTGAGCAGAAAACTCCCATTTCCACTCCAGTATTATTCCTTGGCTTTTGCTGTTGAACAGCTCCGGACACAGAGTTAAAAACTCCCAGGGGTTGGTCGGTGCAGGAGGAGAATTCCAAGAGTCAAACTGAGGGACAATGGACGCTCCAGAAATCCCAGATTCCTCCCTGCACACCTCCACAGGATTCCAGGAGGAGCCACGGGATAAGAGGGAAGCCCTGCAGGGCGTGAACACAGAGTGGGAAAGCAATTCCCTGGGGATTCACGGCTCCTGATCCATCCTGTGCCTCTCCCGATATCCAAGGGCCCAAAAATCCCAGAGGGATCTGCCCAGTCCTCCCTCAGCCTGAGCCTCTCCAGGTGCCACCTTGGAGGGAGGGGAAAAAAGCTCCTTCCAGGAGCTCCTTAATCCCGGGCTCCGACGGCAAATCCAACCGACGGCAAATTAAGAGTCTCTCCCAGTCCCTCCGGAATTCCCAGGGATAACAGCGGGGCAGGCCATGGCCAGCAGTTGGAATGGACACCCTCTGGATCGATGGGATCGAGGGATCCATCCAACCACTGGGGACCAGCCCGGGAGGGGCCGGAGGAGCAGGAGGGAACCGGAGACTCCCGGATCCTCCGCAGGGTTTGTGGGAAGTGAGGTTGGACTTGCCCAAAAACACAGGGAATGGGGGCACAGCACACAGGGAATGGCTTCCCACTGCCACCTGGGATAACTGGGTTGGAGGGACCTCAAAGCCCATCCAGGGACACCTCCCACTATCCCAGGCTGCTCCAACCCGGCCTTGGACACTTCCAGGGCTGGGGCAGCCACAGCTCCTCCGGGAATCCTGGGCTGGTGCCTCCCTGGGAAGGGAGGTCCCTGCTCCTGGAGCATCCCCAGCTTTCCAGGAACACAATCCACAGGTGGAATGAGCTCCTCTGGATCCTCCCTCCCCAACACCATCCTACTGAAGTGACACCAGCATCACACCCTGCCACTGGAG